GAAACAAAAACCTGTGACTTTTCCTTGTTTCCCCAAGCCCTCCTGAGGTGGGCTCCTGAATTCGCAGAGGACTCGGTGCTCCCGGGATCCGGACCTGGCACCCGGCCCGCCTGAGGCCCGCGCACCGGCCAGGCTCACCGCCCAGCGGGCCCGCACGCGTCCCTGCTGCGGCGCGCGGCGTGCATGGTGTGCGGCAGCACCTGCTGCCCGGGGGACCCGCCGGACCCCCCCAACCGCTGCCCATCCGACTCCGCTGTGGCCGCTCCAACCCCACTGCTGATGAATCCGAACAACAAAGGCCAAGGTATTTTCTACCTTGAAACCGGTGGCCTTTGAAGTCCTCCGTGTTTTGTCACACAGAAAAGTTACCACACTTCTTGACAGATTTCCATTGTAGGAAATCACTCAGTTGCCATGACAACACGCTGTACTCTTCCAAGATGAGGAACTCAGCCAGCATTCCCTGAAGGCACCCCATCCCTCCTGGAGCCCTTTGACAGCCCTTCAAACAGGGAGCAGCAGCCGCTCTCACAGAAGACGCTGAGGCTGGGGCGGGGGTCGCGTGTTGCTCGGAGCCCCCGCCGCGGCCCACGCGCAGAGCCGGCCCACGCGCAGAGCGGGGGCGCACCCCGGCTGGCCGCCCCTCCCCCCCCCCCCCGCCTGGTTCTTCGTGGACATGGTGAGCAAGCCCCTCAGCGCTTGTGGGGCAGACGCACCTCATTTCTAGGATGCTGCCTGCCCAGGGACACTTGGGGAAGGGCTTTTTTGCATTTAAAATCTAAAACAAAGCAAAACAAAACTCCCCAATTGGGGCAACCCATTTATTGAGAATAAAGTTATTTCTAGAAACAACCGAACGGTACTTGGAGCCGAATGTAATAATTAACACTCAGGCGGGGCTGGACGTCGGGGCTCTCGGGCGATATTAAGGGCGCAGCCACGCGAGGGCGCTCTGTTTCGGTTCCTCACTCATTTTGGCTCTGATGGCCCTTCCCAAAGAGAAGCCCGTGGGCCGAGGGTGCGGGCGGCCGCCCCGGGGCAGTGCTCCTGCGCGCCCACGCTCCCCCTGCGGTTACTGGTTAATAAGGGAGAAGTCTAACGGATTGACTGAAAAATAATCGAGCGCAGAGCTCGTTTCCTGTCAGGGTCTGGAAGTGGGCGGGGCCTGATGGTGCTCGGAGGGTTCCATCAGCGCCTTTCAAAGCGACAGTTCTTTCTCTTTAATAAGTGTCCCTGGTGTTCATTATAATGCAAACATTGACGGCTTCAGGCTAACACAGAACGTACCATGGTCAGGACTGCAGGACAAATTATTTCAAAGGGATCCACAGAACGAAATGTATTACGTTCATTAGGTTCCCTTTTACCGGATCCACCCCATTGGCTCTGCCAATTAAAATGACGGCACGGGGATTTTTAGAGTGCGACTTACTTTCCTTGGTAGGTTTTAGAATATAAATATTTAAAATGGCAATAAAAAACACTATACGACATCGGTAAGGAAAACAGTTGGCTGGGAACTGAAGGCACAGTGATGTTTTCTGCTCTCATTCTGGGCTCAGTCACTAAAGAGCCACCCTGGAAACACGCCAAGCCCCCATCCAGATAAGAATACGTTCTGATCAGATAAGTCAACGGTCTCTGCGATGCCGTGATGTACCAAAATGGAGTGATGGAAAACGAAACTTTAAAATGACTAGACAATATCTTAATTAGTGAAAGAGTAGAAAATGTATTCAGTTGAAAACATTTCTTGGATTTGGGGTAATAGGTTTTTATGGTTATCAGCCAGTGAACAGAAGATACCATTCTTTATAAATTGAATCCATATATCTCACAATGGTGTAAAATTTCAATAGAGCCTGAATACCGAGAGAAAGTCACATTTAATAGGAAACAGACGAGTTACTCTATACTATCCAAACTCTACATTGTTGAAAAATTAATACTTTTTTTTAATTTGAGCTGAGCAGATAAAATGACAAAGTAAAACAAAAAAATCAAAATAAAAAACATGTAATTCTGTCTTTATGTGGTATCATTGCAAGATATTAAGACTTCAAGATGAAAAAGACACCGTTTGGCCTCCCCCGGGTTTCTGGCGTGTGAGCGCAGCAGACAGCCAGGAAGCGCGGGCTGGGTCACGTAAACGGAAACTGTTGAACTCAAACAGGCGCTAACATCGGACCTCCTGTTCAGCTTAGATCATCTTAGAGGGAGTCTTTGGACACCAAGTTTACTCTTTTAAGTGCAACGCTGGAGATACCCGTTGCTTTTATCACCTCGGCTCTTACCTGCGGCCTCGTAAGGGTGGGGTGGAGAAGCCAGGCCGCCTGCTCCCTAGCGGCCTCCCCACGCACCCCACACCACGGGGGGATCCTGGGAGAGAACGCTGACCGTATTCTGTGGCCACTTACTTTTATTTTTAAATGTGTGCTGTTTTCCCAGCTAATGAAGCAAAATTCAAACACTCTGGAACATACAGACAATTATGGACACACGCACAGAAAACCTTCCCAAGTCCCCACGTTTAAAATGAGCACTGTTTGAACTGGATGTATTTCCTTTCTTTGCTTGTGTGTGAATGGACGTGGGCATATATTTAGTTGAAATCACATTACACGTGTAATTCTCAATTGTATTGTCTCTTCGAGCATTGTCACGTCATCAAAGACCAGCCGTAAACACATGTCCCTAATGGTGGCGTGTTACTGCAGTAACGGAGGCCCACCGTGAAGCCTTTAGCTGCATTGTGCTCTGAACTCTGAAGCTGCTTCTTTCCAATTTTCATTATAAAAAAGAACACAAGGAAACCTCTCTGTGCATCAATCTCTGTTTCTGATGGTTTCCGTAAGCTAGAAATAGAATTGGGGCGAGGACAGAAACATGGAAGTGGCCTTGCTGCAGCCGGCGGACTGCCGTGCAGGATAAGGCATCGCGCGTGAGAGCGAGCGTGTGTGCGTCACACGCCTGCCGATGATTGTAACTGGAAAACAGACACGACGCGCCCTATTTCATCGATTCTAAGATGCATCCTTTTCAATTTAAAGTGTCTGAAATTAGGGATGGACGCGTACTACAATCAAGGGTGGGTTTTGGTTTCTTTGACCATGTATTTTCCTTCTTTAATGGGAAATAAAAATCAGGATGACCTTATAACGGATAACATCTCAGATTCCGTGAAATACTGTATCTCATTTAATTGTTATATTTTGGAACCATTAATGAAAAGTTGTGACTTATATAGGAACCATCTCAGGGCACAGTTCAGTGTCCCAGTGAATTAAAAAATGGTGATTGTAGTGAAGATCATATAATTTATCAGCTGTTTCTAAGTGCGTGGCGCAACGGCGTTAAGTGCATTCACAATGCTATGCAACAGGCCCATAGAAACTTCCTGTTTTGCAGAAACAAAACTCTGTACGCACGGAACACAACCGCCCACCCCCCTCCAGCCCCTGGTGACCACCATGCTACTTTCTGACTCTGTGAGTTTGACTCCCTCAGACTCACACGGCCTTTGTCTCTTAGTGCCTGGCTTGTCCCACGGGGCAGGAGGCCGCCGAGCTCACCCATGGCGCAGCCTGGGTCGGGACGGCGCTCTACGGCACGACTGGACGCGGTTCCACCCCGTTAGCTTTTACACCATCACCCCCCACGTGGCAGCGGGCAGGGACTGCCCGCCCATTGGATGGTCCCAGCGCGCCCAGGCTGGGACATAAAGCGGGCCTGGCTCACACCCACGCACCCGGACTCGCGGTGGCCAAGGTTCCATGGGCTTCTGTTCCTTTTCTTTCTGAAGTGCCATGTCCTTTTCTAATGTGAGCCATATAATGCTCCTCTGACCCCATGTCCTTGAGAGCGGAGCAGGTCACCGGGCAAGCCCCCGCGATGGCTGCCGTCTCTGACAGTACGAGCATTGGGAGGAGCTGGTGGGCCAGACTCGAGAGCTACCTTCTGATGCCTGGAGGGCTGCCAGGAGAAAGGGGCACCTGATACGCTGCGGCCCCCACAGGGGGCAGGAGCCGGCCAGTCTGTGGGAGCCGCAGGGAGGCAACTGCAGATGCGTGACAGGGAGAAGCGTCCTCAGCGAGACAGGGCTGCCGCCCCGGGAGGCAGGGGCCTCAGCTCGGGAGGGGCCGGGCGGGGCGGGAGACACTCCCTAACACATAATCTCTAAGATGGCCCCAACTACCACCGCCTCCCTCCCGGTGCCCACTCCCTCCCGTCCTGCTCCTCCTGGTGTGGGCGGCCCTGGGACCTGCTTCCAGTCCGCGAAGAGGGCACAGGTGAGGCGCCCCGCTCCTGCGGCCCTTGGCGGGACATGGCGGCAGCTCTCCCTCGCGGGCTTTGGTGAACAAGTTCGCACATGGAGAGGCCCGATGCTAACAACGGGCCAAAAACTGAAGCTTTCCACCCAAGAGCCCGGAGGAGCTGAACCCTGCCAAGAACCGCACAAGCCTGGAAGCGGGTCCTTCCCCTGCTGGGCCTCGGAGGAGACCCCGGGCTGGCCCACCCCTTGTCGGTCTGACACCGGGCAGAGGGCCTGGCCAAGCACAGCCTCCTGACCCCCAGCGGCTGAGACTCTGGCGCGTGGGTGTAAGCTGCCAAGCTCGCAGTAATTTGTCACAGTGGGAGGTAACTAGTACACCTTTTCAACTCAGTTTCAGTCTTCACCCCTCACAAGGCAGCTGTCGGGCAAACCTGCTCTCGGGACCACCGCTGACGTCTGATGGGAGCGGCGTGGGGCAAGCAGCTCGGGGCCTGTTCCCACCCCCGGGGGAGCATGCAATGCTCACAGAGCCGTGTGTGCAGACGCAGCCTGGCTCTCTCTGGACCCCGCCAGGCTTCCATTCCGCACAGCTAACTTCTCTCTGAGTCACTGGTCACGTATTTTTCTCTCCTTTTTCCCTCAAGAACATCTAAGGAGGCCTCAAGCTTTACAGGGTCTACTGTCTTTAAGAAAACCAGCCACACACGGTATGTAGAAGACAACTCACCATCCCCAGGAACACCATCTCCTCTTCTCTCTCCTTTTCGACTTTCCTACTTTGATGGAAACCTCGCCAAACCTATGAACAAAGAAATGGTTATGTGTTTCATATGTAAGAAGGTGATCGCAAACATCGCCATAATGCAAGCTTCTACCAAACAAACGGCATGTACCAGCTGGCATTCTGTGTGGGCTCGGCCGATGCAACCGTTTTCCTTCGGGGATCAGAGGCAACGCTTCTAAAGAAAGAATGAACAACAGGAATGGCCTATACCGCTGTCCGGGGACACACCTGGGGACCCTGAAGCCGACCCTCATCCCAGCGCCACCCCACTGAACGGGGAGGCAGCCCCCCAACCCCAGGGGACAGACAGGGTCCACACCCGCCCGGGTCCTGGAGTATACCCGCGGACCTCACGCCCCGCTGCTGACGCAGCGACAGCCCTACCCATCAGGATGGCTGTCGCCAAAGAGACCAGAGGCTGGGAGGACGTGGGGAAAAGGGAACCCTCGTCACTGCCGGTGGAAACGGAAACTGGGGCAGCCGCGACGGAAAACAGCACAGAGGTTACCAAAAAAAAATTTTTTTTTTTTTTAAATAGAACCGTCATATGGTCCAGCAATCCTAACTTTAGATATTTATCTAAAGGAAATAAAATCAGTCTCTCAAAGAGATGGCTGCATCCTCACGTTCGCTGCAGCATTACTCACAACAGCCAAGACATGGGAACGACCCAAGTGTCTGCTGGCGGATGAGTGGATAAAGTGGTCTAAACAAGCCATGAAACATCATTCAGCCGGAAAAAGAAGGAAATCCCGCCACGCAAGACAATGGCGGGCCCTGGGGGCACTGCGCTCAGCGTAGTAGGTCAGAGAAAGACAAACACGCTGTGATCTCACTTGCGTGTAGATTCTAAAGAGGCCAAACTACAGAAACCGAGTCGATGTGTAGTTGCCAGGGGCTGGGGCTGAGGAAATGGGCCAAGATCCGCAAAGGCACCAACGTCCGGGCGTAAGATGAGGAAGTCCTGGGAGTCTCATGCACAGCAAGGTGACTACAGTTAACGACGTCGTATTTGACCTCTAAAAACTGCCGAGAGAGTTGATCTTAAATGTTCTCATGACAAGGGAAAAAAAAAGGTAATTATGTAAAGTGATGATTAACTTACTGTGATAATTGTTTTACAATATATTCACACATCGTATTATGACACATATCTGAAAACTTACACAATACTATGTATCAAATAAATCTCAGTAAAGTTGGATGGGGAAAGAAAAAGAAACAGCCTCTAATTCTTGTTAGTGAGATTCCCCTACCTGGGTTTCTTCAAGAGAAACTTCTAGACTGCAGGAGTGTGGGGGTCGGTGTAAGGGGACCACTTCATGGTTTAAAAGAAAAATCTCTGCAGGCATGTGGGGAAATATAACACAGCAATGTGGAACTGAGCAACTCAGCTGTGAACTCCAGTGCTTGTTTAAAACTCAATCTCTGCACAGACACCTGACAGCAAGGTCTCAGATCTGTCCCTCCCCCAGCCCCGCACTGCCATTCAGATGCAAGACAAGGATCCTGACCGCCCTGCCCCATTTCACATCCTCGCACTTCCTCTCCAGCCTCATTCTAATTTGCCACATGCCACATTCTGCATTCTCCTGTGAGCGACGCAGTCTGTATTTGAAAGAAGATGGGGAGTGCGTCAGTGGTGCTTGTCCAACGGGGCGGAAGCCTCGAGGCCCCTGTGAAAGCAGCCTCTGGGCCCTGCCCGTGGGTGGCGGCCGCTGGGACGCTGCACAAGTGCGCGCGAGCTGGCGCCCTCGCTGGCGCTGGCCCTCCTGTGGTTACAGTGAAGGGATTGAAACAAGCTCATTAAGCATTTATAGCCTCATGGAATTGTTAGCAACATTCTTTCCAATAATTACCAATGATTGCAAAACGATTGTGAAAAAAATGCCTTGTGCTTCGTATCTATTTATAATAAAGCATAAAAGACATGACCAAGCTGAGTTAATTAATGGCTTCCCCACAGAAAGAAAATCCACCCCGTTCGGCTGGCGGCAGGATTGTGGGATTCTGAGCTTCGAGCAGACCACACCCCGGTACACGCATCCCTGGCTGTGTCGGACGCCGGGCCCCCAAACCAGGAGCCCCCCCGCCGTCTCACCTTCTGGATACGCACGGCAGCTGCGCCCACATCCGCTACTTTCTCGCCAAGGAGCCGGGCTTGCCTGGCTCTGAATTCTTGAAGGAAGATCTGCTTCATGAACAGCGCCCTCAGGCGGCCTTGCCGCGCCCTCTCCGCGGTCTGGATTACTTTCACGGCCTCTTCCAGGGCCATACTCCTGACCGGGGATTTCTGCTAAAACATTGGAGATCAACCAGTGTTTAAACAGGTTACCTGCATCACCTGACTCCAGAAACATCACATGCTTACTGCCAGGCAAACACACCGAGTTTCCAGAAGTCGATAAAGAGTGCGCTGGCCGCCCAGCACCGATCGCTTTCCCCTGAGCTGTGTGTGTGTTTTGATAGGACGCCCACTCGGGCTGCCGTCCCCCGTCTGAGGATCCCTGCAGCTTCCCGCTACCATTCCAAACAAAACACTAATTAGCTCCACATTTTGGGCTGGCAGCAAATTATACCGGGAATGCCAAGGGAATGGATTCAATGAAACTTGAAATGGCTATCAATGTTTCACCAATGTAATAAAGTGGTATAAACATAAATTAAAAGCACATCCCTAATGTGAGAATTTAAAAGGTAAAATGCACGTGACGTAAAATGCCGACTTTTAACACCCGTTCCAGGATGAAGTGGCGAATATGATAACGTTAAAATTAGCGTTTTGTTTTCAGTGAGGTTTCGTCCTTCAAATGTGCAGCGCGCTCATATTTTCCATCATGCTTGTCGCACGTTAGAGCAGGATGCATGTCATTCGGGTATTAAGCCAGATGATGCGCGTAAAGGCACGGACGCAGAGAGCGAGCAGGTGGCCAGCGAGCGTCAGTCGTTCCTGTATGTATTTCCTGTCGATTCCGTGCTGTCGTTTTGAACATGGCTGCAGTGCTGACGACTCCTAAAGGGTGTGGAGATTTCTGGGCGCCGACGGAGGCCCCCAGGGGAAACGTCAGGCAGCACAAATGTAGGGGAGACGTTGGGATGTATATTGTGTATATTTTGAAGAAATAAGCAGCCCAAGATGAGAGTGGGGTCCAGTGAGACCCCAAAGAACATGGGACAGTCGCCCTGATGCCCAGGGCCGCCGCCCAGAAGCCACAGCGTCGCTGACCAGGAGCCCCTGCGACGTCCAGGTGACTGAGCAGGGTGGGGGCTCTTTGGTTTCCCCGGGGATCTTTGAGGACTTTCCTTCCCCACTCAAGAGAGTCTGCTTGCGACGATCAGGCGTCACTCAGACTGACGCCATAAAAGGTCAGTGGGCCTCCCAGGAAAGAGTCGTCCTCCTGGAGCTCCGAGGAAGCCGCCTGGGCTGTCAGCTGTTTCAGGTGAGCTGCGCTTGGCTTCTGACTCGGGCGAGGCGGAGCTGAGATGGAACATGACTTGGACTTCACGGCCGAAGCGCTCTTGGAGGTGCCGGCTGGCCCCGCAGAGTGTTAGGTTTCGGTCTCGATTTCTAACTTCTTGACAAATAATAGATGTGAATTGCCAAAACCTCCTGCACTGAATAACAAGGGGCAAAAGCTACTGCTCTCTCACACTAAATATAATCCAACAGCTTCTCGTTTAGGGGCAGAAAAAGTAGGTTTTACAGGTCAGGGAACCATATTTGCTAATGTTATACCTACCACTTCGGGGATGCTGGATCCGGTGTTGGCCAGTATCTGCGCAAGGATTTTCTCTCTTTCTCTTATGACGTCCAACTTCTCCTTCAAAAAATACTTGGGTATGGGAATATCCAATTGTTGCTAGAGAAAGAGAAAAAATAAGCAAAAGAGCATTTTTGTCACAATTTCAGGACTCACATCCAACTAAGACACACAGTGGCAGCGTGGCTGGCTGCCCTCCGCATCCCCGGGGAAGAGGCGCCGAGCGCCGCAGGGGAGGGGCTCCGTCCCACAAACAAAGTCAAGAGGCAACGCTGCAGCCCTGGCCTTCGTTTTCATTACCACGGCGAGACTTTAATAGTTCACGCCGGTGAGGCTTCAATTAACTGGGGCAACAATGGATTTCTGTAAAGGAATATAATACCGTCTCAGTCTACCTAGAATAATAATGCAAATTAGAAGAGCAAAGTGTTGAGCTGTAGAAATCATTGAATTAAACACAGTAATCTGTCATTAGCACCATCAAGTTTTGTTCATAATGGTCACATTTTTTTCCCCTAATAATTGGTTTATTTTTACCTGAATTACCCCATTACAAAAATTATTTACAAAATGAATTTGCTTTATTAGGAAACTTGTTTTTTATACAATAAACACAGACTTCTTTTCTTCACTATAAATATTACTAAACGGTTCAAATTAGTTGATGTCAAGTGAGTATTTGCCAGTCCGAGGTCAATAGTTCGGAGCGCACGGGGCTATTAAAGGTCGGGGGGCGGGGGGCGGCGCTCCTGGCCGACCCACGGAGACTCGCCGTCCTGCGCACTTGGAGGCCCTCCCGGCAGCCTCCTGGTCAACCAGCTGGCCAGTCTCTGGGGTCCACTGTCCTTTTCCCTGTTCTGATGTGACTCCCCCCACCCCCCACCCTCCTCCCCAACCAGGAAGTTCGAACCAAAATTATTCCCCTCCATAAACACTGTAGCATAAAGGGGTGTCTTTGTGAGGACTTGGTGGGATGGTGGCCCCAGGACTTCTGGGAGGTGGCAATAATTTTTGAAAACCAAAGCTTTCTGAGGCTGACGGAGGGCCAGGGGCGCGCTAAGCATCAGCTTCCAGGGCGGGCGTGGCCTGGGGACAAGAAGCAGTCAGAGCGGGGCCGTCCCACTCGTAGGTTACGCTGCAGTTGCATTTATGAACACGCAGGTTCAAGCGCTGTACTAAATTCTGAGACAGAACTTCTGACATGCTCCAACTGGTCCATTTAGGACCACAGAGCTGTAGTTAGGATTCTGGGGGAAAGGAGCAACTGAGCACCGAAGAGAGAGGAAGGCAGGTATCGGATGCTCTGGGCTTGCCGCTGGCCCTCCGTCCACAGTACGTTTCCTGTCCACACGGACACCGGGGGTTCCTGGCCTCTGTGCATGGAACCGAGGAGACGTCTGGTGGCCGGGAAGCTCTCTCTCCCCTCTATGTGTTTTTCTGCGCTGGGGGCCTGTGAGGGAAGGCCCCTGATGTGGCAGGTTCCAGAAACAGTCCTCTGGTTAGTTTAGCCAAGAGGGAAGCCTGATGGAAGGACGTGGAACCTCGCGGAGCAAAGGCAGGAACGCAGCCGGGTGTCTGTCAGCAGCAGGGGCACGTCTAGAAATGTGGGGTCTTCAGACCTCGGCCACTGTTTCCGCTCCTCTCCGGGGCCTGCTTTGTCCCCGCTCTCTCCTTCTCTCTGAAGAGCCGCTTCCTCCACTGTTCTGAGAACCTGCCGAATAAAGTCTTCCAACTACTGACAAGGGGTTCAGGAGACTAGAATTCAGACCTCGAGAGAGAAACTGGTCTCTCTCTCTCCGTCCCAGGTCAGGCCTCTCAGGGAAGGGCTGGATGACGCAGCTGCCCAGGCGCCCGTCCCTGCCCCAGTCCGCTGCGGCCCGCGGTGCTGGTCACGCTGTACCGACAGTGGGGTGCCATCGCAGGCCATGCAGGTGATGGAGCAAGCGAAGCCCAGGCACAGAGGGAGCTGGTTGGTCCAGGCTTCCACCCTGAAACGCAGGCCTAGCCGCTCAGGAGCTTCCAAAGGTTAGTGTGTCTCCCTGGAGGGGATGCTGTTTATGGTGCTCAGTGGCTCCACCGCCCTCCTCGGCGCCCTGGTCTCTGAAAAGATAAACCAGCTGAGGCAGAGCACTGGCTGAGGCAGTAAGAAAGGCAGGGGATGAACGGAACAACCCGCCATAGAGATTTCCTAAACTCATTCCTTAAATTTAGAAATTCTATTTCATATTCTTCAAATTAAATTAATAAATTTAATCCATACCATAGGATATATTTATTGACTTTAGAGAGAGAGGAAGGGATGGGAGGAGGGAAAGAGGGAGGGAGGGAGGGAGGGAGGCACGGAGAGAGATGTGAGAGACGTTGACGGGCTGTCTCCGTGTGCACCCTGACTGCAGAACGAACCCACAACCTAGGCGTGTGCCCGGACCAGGAATCGAACCCACAACATGTTAGTGAACAGGATGACCATCCAACCCCGGGTCTAAATGAATTTAATATTAAGTAATTAATTAAATTTAGGAATATGATTGAATGACTATTTATATCATATTTATCCTAAGTTCTTGATGTTTTAACACAGGTGAGTCAAGTACACAAACTAAAAAACTTCAACACAATAAACATGAAAGTTTTCGAATGATCTTCAACATTTTCATTCATTACTGTTATTCTCTTTATTCTGATAAAATGCACGACTAATGCTGGAAAAGTCTATCCCAGAAAGAAACAAAACCTTTAAGGAAGCCCAAATATTTTCAAAAGGAACTAACATTAATCCCCACATAGAAAATAAAACATTTTCTCCTTTTAACTTTAAGAAAATGTTCCTTCCAAAGAGAAGCCAGAGCTCCCGGGACCGTGACCCCAAGTGCGGCGTCCACCGGCCCCTGACGACCCCCAGACAGGCTGTCAGAAGAGACCCCGGGCGAGTGGCAGCGGAGGTCAGAGGGCGCCGCAGGGGCAGGACTCACGGGCTGGCGCGATGGCCACAGGTGGCGGTGGGAGAGCCCCCGGCCTCGGAGAGGGACAGGGAGCCGCCATGGTGCCCACTGTCACACACCCTCCGAGTCACTGCTGACCCGGAACAATGGAGGAGACGCGTCCGCCCGGGAGCAGGGAGCCGGCCACCGGAGGCTGCCCATTCAAGGGGGCGGGGAGAAACGGGCGGGGGGAGGTGTCCTTCAGGACGGAAGCAGAGGCGCTGCTACTGGAAACTGGGAGGGCGTGTGCACCGGACCTCTGGGAAGGGGTCGGCCTGCTCCCCTCCCGTGGACCCGGACAGACGCCACGGCGAGCAGCCAAGCCACAGCTACCGCGGGGTCCGGCCGACCCACAGACTGTAAAGACTCACTGCTGCCCCGCATCAGGGCACCCCAGCCGCGGCCCCCGCAGTACGGTCTGCCGAAGGGCTGCGCCGCAGCTCCTAACGCAACAGACAACTAGCAAACACGTCTACACGGCCTATGGAGTGCTGTTTACAGGCCTACGTATCTTATTTAAAACAAAAAGGAACTCATAAGGAAAGAAAACTGAGCACTTACGGGAGTCAGCTTTAGGTCCTGTAAGATATCGTCAAAATAATGAAACTCAGCTAATTCCAGTTCCACCATCTCGTTCTTCAGCTCCAGGATGCGGCCCATCACCCCATCCAGGATCTTCCGGATCAAGATTCGCTTCTGCGGGTGAACAATCTGGTCGTAGACACTCTCCAGGTCCCTAAAGATCTGCACGTATTTTATGTAGAAGGTGGCTAACATCTGGAAGATGAACACTTCATTTCTGGGTGGTTCTACCGTCTTCTGAGACTCTTTATCAAGCAAAGAATTGAGGGCTTCGTGGGTCTGATGCCACATTTTGTTATACATTCTGAGAAAAGACAGAGTTCGGACACACAATTAGCAACAATGACTCGGTAAGGCACGCGGACTGGTGCCTGGGGTGACCAGGCGTGACTCGGCCACACGTGAGCTAAGAATGCCGCATGCTGCCTGTCACAGCGCTCTTCAGGCAGCTCATGTCCTGTTCGGACATGAGTGTCATTTCTGGATGTGACCACTGCTACCGCCACCAAATGAATAGTTTAGAAAGCCTTTCGCCTCTATGGCACACAGGGGTTCCTGGCTGTACCCGTCGAGCCAGCACTGAAGCTGATAGCCAGACGAGTTAACTGATCTGTCCCCAGACAGAGCTGCGGGAGCACAGACTGCACCGACCGCTTTGGGAAGTATTTCAGGATGACCTTGCAAAGTTGAACACGTGCCACCCTGTTAAGGAACAGCCACGCCCCAGAGACGCTCTCATCAACCTGCATCACCAGTGACCACAGAAACACTTCTGTGCCGCGGCAGAAACCCGGGGGCCGCCCCGGGGCGCAGCCACAGGGGAACGAATGAGTAGACTGCAGTGTGTTCTCCAACACACGGCGGTGACTCGCGCGTGACCGCAGCCCTGAGGGCCAGGCATGGACCTCGCAGACCTAGCGGAGGGCGGCGTGGAGGGCGGCGGCTGGGAGGCTGGCCCCCCGAGGACGGCCCCGCAGTGGCCGAGGTGGGCGGAGCCGGCAAGAAGCGGGAAAGGGGCTGGGGGGAGGTCTGCCCCGCCCGCCCCTGGGGCGCCGGCTCGCCGTGGGCCGCCTCCCTCGGCAGACCCAGGCCACCCCACCGCCCGAGGCTGGTTTCCCTGGACCCAGCTCACACCTCTGTCCCCAGTCCCTTTGTCAGTCCCTGCCGCCAAGGGTGCCCCTCCTTTCCTGTCGGGACTCTGCCGTGAATGGCTGAGACTTTGTATAAAAACATTGGGTGATTTTTGGCTCTTTTACAATGTGTGAGCACCGGGACTGAGAAGCTACCTGGAAGGCCGCTGTGTCTGGGAAGGGGCTTATCCCTCAGTGGGCTTCCCGGGGCATGAGCGGGTGGGCAGGACCCTGGCCACTGCGGGGGACGAGGCGGCCCGAGAAGCTTGGCCTCTATCTGCGGGGTCCCCAGGGGGCTGTGCGGTGGCTCCACCTCCTGCCGGCCAAGCGAGTGTGTCAAGGGGGCTGCGGGCTCTCGCTTCCTCGTCGCGGGCAGTCGGGCCTCTCCTCGTCACCCCCCCTTCCCCCGTGCCTGCTGTCCTTGCCTGGACGGCTTGGCGCCTGCTCCTGGGGTGGGCGGCCCGATAGAGACCCATAGGCAGTGGCCGCCACCGACCCGCTCAGAAGGACCAGACCTGCCGCCCTCTGTCCAGGGTTGCAGGGACCTGGCTTGTTAGCCCCGCCCCGGCCCCCAGGTCCTGGCCTCTTCCCTGCCCCCCCTCCTCCTGGGTCTCCTTTCCCTCCTCCGGCGTTTCCGTGACATCTCTTGTCAAATGCTCCAGTGTCCTCTTAGCCCTTGTGCGTTTATAGCCTTTTAAACCCTTTATTGTCATTTTAGAGGTGATTCGGGAGGCGGTGGCAGTAAACGTGCGTATTTGATCCACCTGTTTCCACCGGGCGCCCCCTCCCCTTGCCCCCTCCCAGAGGCCAGTCCCAGGCGTCCCTGTCCCCTCTCCGTGCACTGCCCCGGCCGTGGGCCCTTCCTAGCCCACGCTCCGCACTTTCACTCTCCCGGGAGCAGGAAGCTGTGCGCGTCACTGAGCTGCTGACCACAGGTCACCTTTGTCCTACAGGTATCCCGGGGACATCCCATGAACGGGGGCCCCTGGCGCCCCCATGAGGTAGGGGGAAGGAGACGCTTGCTCCTGAGTCGGGGGGTGGGGGAGGCAGCGTTTGAAGCCGGGTCTGTGAGATTTAAGCTCAGGCCGCTACTCAACGCGGAGCCACCTCTGCCCCTACCAAAAAGAAAAGAACCCGCGCTGCCACAAAATGCACAATGGCAACTTTTGCCAAGGTGACCGGTGACAAAACACACTGTGTGGCCTGGATGGGTCGGACACCAAAAAGACACAAAGCTTTATAGCCCCCTGTAACCCACCTTTCCCCCCTGCCAGCCCCCCACGGCCCAGGGAGTTTGGACATGACTCCCGCCCGCTGGGCTCAAGGACCGCAGTCCTCCAAAACCGGGCTGTATTTTAACAAGAGGGCAGGCCAGGAGCCCTCTGCTACCCCGGCTCCTTAGAAAAGAGAAGGCGATTGCCAGGAAGTTGGAATGTCATTGAGCCCGGGACACACCACTCCGTGCCTAACAAACGGCCAGAAACCAGTGCTGAAAAGAACAACAATGGCAACAGCAATGTCTCCTCTTGGTCAAACTTGTCATGCCTCAAAAAGACAAGCGAAGGAGAGGAGAGGGGAGGAGAGAAGGGGAGGGGAGGGGCCGGGAGGGGGAAGCAGAGGAGCGGGGCCGGATGCACTGCGGGTCCCAAGATGCGGGGGCTCAGCGACGTCGGCCTGGAGAACACAGAGTTGTGCAGGGCCCCGAGAAGGCCAGGCCTCCAGCACCGGGGAAGGGGCAGCAGCCCCGGGCGCCCGCTGACCCGACGGGGCCGCGGGCTGCTCATTCCAACAGGCTCAACAAATGTTCACATAAAGCAGAAGAACCGCCGCCCGTTCGGTGGACTAAGTAGGGTTTAGGGACTAAACCTGTCAGGACAACATTACAGAAGAAAATTACAGGCTAATTTTGTTTAAACTTGGATCTGAAATTCCACTTAGCAAACAAAACACGGCGCCAGATCAAAAGAACCATTCCCTGTGACCAAGGAGGGGGTCGTCTCAGGAATTCAGGAGAGCTCAACATAACGCTGAGCTGAACACAGCAACAGAACAGTAAAAGCCGGAGATGGTTTCCGCAGATACCAAGAAGATGCTCAATAAATTTTAATTTACGACACATGCCTGATTAAGAGTACTATCCACACTCTCCGAAGACCAGGCGATGTCGATGCTTCAGAATGCGGAAATCCAGAGGCCAAAGACAACTTCAGTAGAGAAACACTAGAAACACACCCAGAGAAACAGAAGTAAAAAGGGATAAGGCAGATATGAAAGAGATTAATATAAAAGATTTTAAAAACGGCTTGTAAGTGACTCCATTGCAAAATCCAAGGAAACGGGTAATGAAATGTAAGGAGTCAATTAGTACAGCAAAGTAGCAAGAGGTAGAGAAAACCCAGAGCAAAGCTGAAGAAAATTCTAGAATGCTAGCGGCAGACGTTGAGAGTAGGCAGAAAGCAATATCCATTCCTGCCTGGAGAGACGAGATATAAAGAAAGCAGACCCCAGAGACTGACGCGCAGATTTAATATTATCCAGAATTTGGTAATAATGCACTGTGGACTCCATAAATAATTTCAGTGACAATTTCTCCACTTGGGGGTGGAGTTGAAAATAAAAGATCAAGGGCATCTTATCAGACGTCAAAGCATTTCGCACACCCGCCAGCACCAAGGTTTGCAATAGCTGAGGATGTTGCCTCCACAGGGGGCCGGCGGGGTGACCTGGACCCCACAAGCCCCAAACCCATCAACAGCAAGGGGTCTGGGGCGGAGGAGGGCCCCCCGCCCCGGGGCACGCCAGCCAGGGAGACAGCGAGGACACACCTGGAACTCAAGGCCTCCCAGACTCTGCTTGGCGCGGACCCAGGCTGGGCCCGTGGCCCAGCTCGGGGCGCTGAGCGGCTCCCCCCGGGGTCGGCTGGGCAGGAGCCCCTTCAGGCCCCGGAGGAGCCGACCCTGCTCCGGAGCTTCTGGCCAAAGGCCCTTCCAGCGGCTTGAGCCCTCCAAGTCCTGCCGTTCGGGCTGTGGCCTTTGCTTCCTCGCCCGCGGTCTTCCTGTGGACCCTTCTCAGAGAGCCCGGGGAAAGCGCATTGGTTCATGGGAGAATATTGACCTTAAGGGGCTATTTGAGCCCACGAACCCCAGCCTCACACCCCTTACCCTGGAGGCTGACGTGGTCTTCGGTGCCTTCCCCGAGCAGCCACTGGTCGCACCCCTCCGCCCCCAGCCGGCCAGGCGCCTGGACGCTGGGCCAGGGCCCGGCCAGCCTGTGGCGCCCCGTCCCCCCTCGAAGGCCCTGTCCCGCGGGAGCCCCGCCCGCCCCGCTGCCCTGAGGTCCCAGCACCCTCCAGGCGGCGCCCGCGAAGGCCGGGTCAGACAAGGGGTGTGCAAGATGACCTTTAATAAGAGTGTTATGGAGAGACTGTCCACAAATCATTGATTTGCCTTTTTAAAGCGGGCGCCTCGGCGGCGTGTAGCCCATTCGCAGAGCTGTGCGGCTCTCACGGGTGTCTGGCTCCAGAACGCTTTCTCCGCTCCAGAAGGAAGCCCCGTCCCGTGGGCCACGGCCCCCACCCCCAGCCCCCGGCAACCGCCAGCCGACCCGTGGCTCTGTTTGCCTACGCTGGACATCACACGCAAGTGGAAGCGTCGGACAGCGGTCCCTGTGCCCGCGCCTCGCCCTTAGCCTCCCATTTTTGGGGTGCACTGGGGGGCAGCACGCAGAGCACCTCGCCCCTCTGTGTTGCTGACGGATGTTCTGCTGCAGGGGGGCACCGCATCCCGGGGCCCGCGCGTCAGGGGCTGGGCGCGCACCGTGTGCTGCCTCTCGGCTGCGGTGAACGGTGCTGCCGGGAGCATCTCGGTACAGGTTTCCGTGCAGACACGGGTTTTGATTCCTTTAAAGGGAAAAGCGCTGCCAGTTTCGCATCAGAACCCGCCTCCTGAGGTAGCTGGTCTCACGCAGCGCGTTCAACCCCTGAGCCTCGCCGTCCTCAGGCTGGGTGCTGGCGCGGGCCCCGGACACCCCGCAGGATTACTGCGGGAGGGGGTAACAGCTGTGGAAGGGTTCTGGAAATTTTAAATGCTCCTTGTAAAGAGAAGGTACTATTTTATCCATGAGGCTACTTAGCATTTTTTAAGTACATGATTGGTTTCAGACTTGAGCATATGA